AAAATAAAATTAATTAAAAATTATTATTTTATTAATAAATAAAGTTGTTATTGTTAATATTATTTCTCAACCAGTATTTTTCCTAAATAAAATTTGTTATTGGATTGAATTTTGAGTATATTAAGTATAAGTTAGAACAACTATTATCATCTTTAACTTACAGATTGAATTTTTATACAAAATTTCTTAAAATCCGATAAATAGCAAATAAAATTACGTTAGTTTTTAAACTATATATTTCAAATTTCAAAGTTAGTCAAAATCTTGAGATTTTTCATTAAATAAAAAACTGAACAAGATTTTCTTTCCTACGTAATAAAGAAATAGATTTACATTAGAGAAAGTCATGTAAAAGACAGAAGAAAAAAAAAAAGATTTACATACTTCTCAATGAAACCTGAGAAATAAAAAAAATAGATAAGAAAATAAATAGATTTACATACTCCTCAATTAAACCTGAGAAATGAAAGGAATACACGACCTCCAATACTCAAAGAATTAAAGAAACCAGATATTTATGGACATCGTCCAAACAATTCAAAACATGTTAAGAAAATCAATATGCTCAAGAGGTGAATGAAAAACAACATAACCTTACAAGATATGCACTGTATCACTCAAGTGTTTAGACTACTATTTACTCTCAAAGCACCCACGAAAAACAAGTACCACGTAGACTTAGCAAACCTCTAAAATTAACAACAAAAAACACATACACATAAAGATCAAAAGGACTTTTAAAGGTCATAATGAGGCTAAGGACAAGATATGAAATATATGGATAAGTAGCTTAAAGACCAAAGAAAATAGATGAGCAATGGGAAATGAGTAAAAAATACACATGAAAGTAAATCCACCAATTTCAATCATCACACAATGTCCAAACTCAATATATTTCTTTTCTTTATTTTTTTTTCTCTTTTTTTTAACGCAAACAAAAGAAAACGAGATAGTCACTCATATATACACAAATAAAGAATCTCAAAACCAACACAACTAGGTACAACCCCCATTATTTGAGCACTCATTCCCGAAATAATTTCAAAGCTCCAAAATTTCCTAAGTTAGGGTAATCATTCAGGTTAAGGGCTTGTAATGAGCTATAAAACAATGAAAAAGGGTCATCGGCTCAAAGGGGCTATCAAAAGGGAATGATTCAAGGTAGGTTCATTTGGCTAGAGGCTTATAAGAACAAAAATGTCTAAATCATCTCCAACATGCATGTGAATCAAGAAGCATAAAAAAGAGCCAAGGCAATACCAATGTGCAAACAATCAATAGGCATAACACACAAGAAAGAAAGAATAGAGAGTGACTCAAAACCTCACACAGGGTAAATCTTTCACTTCCAAATCAACCTCTCAAACCTAAAAATCAACTTGACATGCATAGAAGAACATGGATTTCAATCCATAGAATATCAAACAACTCATATCCAAGAATGAAGTAAGTGCCTATTACTTTTACAAAACCTAGAAATTAAAGAAAAATATGCAACTCAAAGAAAAATATGCAAAACTGTATAAGCCCACAATCCTACATCTTCCACCCCACACTTAAATCAGACATTGTCCCCAATGTAAACACAATCATATCCACTAAACAAATAGGACAAATAAGATAAAAAAATGGAAGGGGAAAGAAGAACTCCCTGATCATGGTGGGTCTTGGATCTATCTCCTTAGATGGTACAGGTGTTGAGGTCATCAAGTAGCAACTTTGTTCAGCTAAAACAAACAAAGTCTTCTTCTGCATTAAGCTGGAAAGAGGCAATGTCAATTTCTTGAAGTCTTGAATGATTCTTTGGTAAAAACATGTCAATATCTCAATCGTTTGATTTATGAATGGAAGGGAAAAGTGATCCTTCCGCATATCAATTATCTCACTCATTTTTGGAACAACTTGGATAGTAGATACCCACGTATTGTTTGAGATGAGACTTATGATGTCAGCCTTCAATAGCTTGGTCACCTCCTTTTTCACCTCATCAAGGATGGTAGGATTCATCTTTCGTTGGGGCTTCTTCACAAGACTGCAATAATCTTCCAACAAGATTTTGTGCATGCAAATAGTAGTGTTGATCTTAGTGAGGACATCTAAGGACCAACTGAATGCTTTCTTGCGCTCTTTTAACACCTTCAACAATCTTCCTTCTTGATCAGGGAGGAGATCACTAGATATGATCACATGTACCTTTTCAGACTCCTCCAAATAAGCATACTTTGAATGGGATGTGAGTGATTTCAAATCTAAATCATCCGATTGTTGTTGTGGTGTACTTACTTCACTTGCTTTACCAGCTGTCTGCACTCCTACAAAATATTCAATATTATCACTAATCTTCTTACATATAACACAACTTTCATCTATACAATCACATTTAGGCAACTATTATTGGCTTAAATTCAGAGATTTTAAGGGCTTATCAAGGTCAAAATTAACTCCTACATCCAGTTCTTCATCCTCTCGGCCTTCATCTGAGCAAGCGTCTGTTAAGAATAACTTTCTCTCACCGAGTAAAGATGTGTCAGGGGTTCTTCTGCTCTATTTGAACTTCTTGATCACTTCTCAAAGTAATTGCACGTACATTCTCATTAGGATTAATCATTGTTTGTGAGGGAAGTACATTCACACATTACTGCTGTAGTGAATTCATAGTAGTGACCACTTTCCCAACTTGGGTTTCCAAGTCATTGAAGCATTACTCTAGTTGTGTGTTCTGCGTTATCATCTGTTGTGTGAGTTGCTTCATCAAATCTTCTAGTGTAGGCCTAGAGTTACCCTGTTGCATAATACCACTTGGGCTTTGATGTATTGACATAAGGTGTGAATTTGCCTATTGTCCCAGTGAGGGAGGTTGATACTCTTGTTGGTAAATGCCTTGCCTAATTGATTGAAAATGCATCTTTGGTGACTGGTTGAAGACAATATCATATTTCAAGTTTGGATGGTCTCTCCAGCCAGAATTATATGTGCCCAAGTATGAGTAGTACTCCTGTTGTGGACTGTATGAATATAATTGTTCGTAATGTTGTTATTCAGGGAATATACTAACACTGTTTCACTAATTAAGCTTGGTGTCACCTGAAGTTGAGGGCATACATCAGTGGGATGATATACAGAGGTGCATATCCCACATACATATTGTTGATGTTGAAATGTATGTTGATTTATGGCCAATTGTCGTATTCAAGATGTTAGCTCATCCAATGTTCTTTCAAAGTTCATATCCTCAAAATCACTTGTTTACTGTAATGGAAACGGTAGACCGTGAACAAGTACACCAAGTAGGTTCCTAAGAAAGAGATGTGAGTCACTAATAGACACGCTTAAGTACCAAGTTTTTCTTAGCCAGAACCCTCCTAGACATGCACTCTCACACTACCAAACTATATCCAGAGTTTCCTATGAGAATGGTTTTCAAGAATTTTCTTACAAGGATGACTTATTAAAAATTTCCTGCAAGAATGATTAGGGAACACACAAGAACAAATTATAATAATTTTTTTTAACTAAAGCTAGAAAAAGAAAATTAAAAAAATTGATATTAGACAATGTTACGCAACATAATTGTGTCCCCAACAACGACGTCAATTAATAACAGCATTTCAGTCGTACAAAATATTGATAAAAAATAATAAATAAGTTATTAAACTAATGCAATATAGTTAATCCGTGTCGAATCTTACAAGAATACAATTATAGGAACGTACTCATTACTATATATTATTCCCTCTAAAACAATAAATAAAGTATGAATGAAAGAGTGAAAGAGAATTAAATTGATGCATAATTTAAATAACTCGAAATTTATAAAATTAAAATAAAATATTTTTAATTAAAATTGCAAGAATCAATAATTGCTTTAAAATAAAATAGTGCAAGTAATTAAATTTGAAAAGAAAAGGGGTTTGCGTAATAATAAATAGTAAATTAATGAAAATAGAATTTAAATAAAACAATGAGAAAATAATTGATTTTCTTATTCGAATGAAGTGTCATAGGTGACGAAATTAAATTGCTTTAACCTTTTTTCCGACCCGAAATTAACCAACTAAGCGAAAATTAACTCAAATTATTCTTATACAATTAAGCATTGCATACATCACATAATCTCATCTCTAATACAGGATTAAGCAAATTGCGATATTGATTTCAATATATTAAGCATAAACAGATTATAATTCAACACCGAGATTAGAAGATGAAGAGTTAAGAGAACAAACAGAATAGAAAAACAAAACCTCAAAGATCTACTATATTCTCCTCAGAAAATCAATATAAAGATTTAGCTATCCATGAAAAATCGAAAACGCAGAAGAAAATACATAATTAAAATCGAAAACAAGAATTTAAAATAATGATAGAAGAGTAAACAAACTTGAATACAAAATTCAGAAGACGAAATTGACATTCCAAGGATGCGACTTTGTGATGTGTTTCCGCGTGATGTGCCTCTTTAACCCTATGTGATCACTAACATAAATAACCTTAAACCATAAATTTAATCTAGGTTTGGACCTAACTAGTTTACAAAACACATCAGAAACAAATAAAACAAAAATCTTAATTCTAATGGACAGTTGACATGGTATCTAACTCAATCTTTCAAACCTAAAATTATTTTATATTGTCTTGAAAATAATAATGAACAAAAATTAAACCAAATAAATTCAAATTAATTAAAATCTAAATTACTAAATGAAGTCCAATTAATAAAAATATACTAATATCATACCATTAAACCTATAATACTAATTAAAATAATTATAAAAAGATAAAAAAGAAAATGAAAATGCAATTACTCATCCATCTTTTAACAAAAACATTCCTTAAAAAAACACGTTGTGTGAAGCATTGAAAAGTCTGTCATGTCTTACAATTTGTAAGGATATTCATGTTGTGTTCATTCTTTAGAATCTACTCTAACTTAGCCACAAGGGCGTAAGTTTTGTAATATTCCGAGTGAAGATGGGAAAAAAGGAAGAAAGGATCGAAGCATGAAGATGGACAGCATCAGAGTCATTTCAGAGTACTTTCTGGAACACCTTCCAGGTACCTTGGTAAACGTTACTGTCATGAAGGTTTGTGATGCTCTCTCTCTTTTTTCTTTTTTCTTTTTTCTGTTTTTCTCCGAATTTTCTAGAACCACCTCAACCCCTATCTGTTTACTTTACTACTTTCCTTGCAAGCAGACGACTAGTGTACGGATTGAAAATCCGAGAAATCCGTGTGGCACTTCAACCACTACGCTGTTTCTTCCTATTTTCGTGAACTCTCCTTTCAATCTTACCATATGTTACAAAACTCCATATTCTAATACTCTACTTGTTCATATTTTATTTATTAGAGAAAATTAAATTTATAAATCTTGAAAAATATGCTTTTACTTAAAGTGAATATTATTTTGATAGCTGTAATATTGGAATATTAGTATACGTCTAACAGAAGTTGTTGAGGAATAAATTAATATATAAATATTATAATATTAGTATACTTCTAAAAGAGGTTGGTCACGAATAATATTTAATTGTATAAACGCGTGGGTACAAAATTAATTTAGAATAACTTTTATATTTGTAAATAGAGTTTGTAATAAAAATAAAAATAAACATGTGAAAACTTAATATTTTATTCTAATTAAAAAATTGGTTGTGAGGAAACGAAAAAGGTGACAGAAAAAAATAAATAAATTTCTCAACATGCTTTTAATTAAGTTTAGTATATTTTTTACCCTGCCTTTTAGTCTTTGGTCAAAAGACCAAGTAGAAAAAAAGGATAAAGCTAAGGACACGGATAAAGAAAATTCTTTTCCTACTAGGTTTGGCTACTGAAATGTTCTGTTCAGACACCCAAACTTTTGTACGAATCCCAGAACATTCTAAAACTATACATTATTTATTTTTTAATTTGAAAAATAAAATCAATATAAAAACATAAAAAATATAAAGGCGTGAAAAAATAAATAATAGATCGATTGTTTAAATATTAAGACGATGGAGAAAAACTTAAATTATTTTATACTTAATTATTTAATATTATTAGAAAAAAAAAAAAAGTTGTGGGGCCACTAAGATTTACAATTACTGGTGGATTCAATCTTGATGGGAGGTGGGAGAATCAGAGCTCTTGTCCTGCAACGCCGCCTAGGCAATACCGAGGAATGATAGTTGGCCTTTCCAAACATTTTCTCACGCGTCTCATGTTGAAGTTACAACCCACTCGCCCTGTTTTGCCGAAACGTGGTGCTTCACGAAAACCCCTTATGTAAGCTTTTAAAGATAACTGTCCGATTTTTAAGTTTCCTGAACGCGGCAGAGTGTGGTTACACGTTCTCTTTTACGTGTGGGTATATTTTTTATGTAACTGTTACAAATCAATATATAATTATATGATTAATTATAATTTTCAAAAGAAATATATATATATATATATATATATATATATATATATATTAAATGTTAATAAATTAAAATAAAAAATATAATAAAAATAGTATGTATATTTATATGTCTACTAATGGTTAATAATTTATATTATATATATATATATATATATATATCTTTTTAATATATTTATACTATATTATAGAATTTTTAATTATTTTTATTGTTATAATATAAAGAAAGATAATTTAAAAAAATATTTTTTATAAATAATATATAAAAGAAAATTTTAATATATTCATATTTTTATATTATTAATTTTAATATTTTTATTTAATTTAAATTTTATTATTGTAATATGTATCATATTTTTTAAATTCATTTCATGTATAGTTACTTCTTTTCATTTTTTATTATATTTTTATCTCTTAAGAGAAAAAATATATTTAAATAATAAAATAGAAGTTAAATTTAGTAAAGAAAAGATGATACATTAAAAACTAAAAAAATTATTTTAAAATTAATAATATTAAAAAATAAAGATATAAATGTGATTAATTTTTGCCTTTTTTATTCAGTATTAATAAAATAACTGCTGTGTAATTATTTTTCTAAAATAATTATTTGCCATTTTATTATATTATATACTTTTAATTAATCTTTATTATTTAATTATTTTTTAAAAATTAAACGCACAACGCAATAAAGTTATGTTTCTATTAATAATTAATAAAAGTAATAAATACTTACAGTAAATTTTGGAAAAGTTTGTTGTTTTTATATAATTTTCGTTCTTAATAAATAATATTTTAAGTTATTTTCTGATAAATCTATATCTTATTTTTTTAATTTAAAAAATTTCTTGCAGATAAACATTTTCCCATATAATATACAGTGAACAATTGAAATATTTTATATTCATTATTATTATTATTAAAATATAATTTAATTCTTTATAAATTAGATTGTATTTTAATCATAATACACATAAATTTTATTTTAACATTAGTATATATAAACTAAAATTATTCAAATAAAAATATATTCATTCTAAATAACTTTTTAATTATAATTTAAAGACTTATACAAAAATAAAATGGATTAATAGATCACTTTTTTTCTAGTGTTACACCATGTCAATTAATTTTTAAATATTTGAAAAATATAAATATTATGCCAGTGTTTATTTCCAATCAACTAAATTTGGATAGAGAAAATATTTTCTTCAAAACAATCATTGACTCTCAGCAGTTCAAACTTGAGTAAAAGACAGTCTATTTTGATTAAAATTTTATACTATTAGAGGTATTATTTAATACCACTAAAACATATATTAATAACAAGTAAAAAACTTTTCAATCATTAATAAATACACAAAACTATAACATTAATCATATATTACAATATTTTATTTTCTTATTTGCACGAGTCTGTTCTACAAAAATTAAATTTATCCTCTGTCTCAACCATAATTGAAAACATACAAAATTGTGGTAAATACATTTTTAAATCCTTAAAAGAATGATTTAAAATTTTAAATACTAAATTTGATTAATATAAACTAAAAAATAATAATTTTATTTTCCTTAAATTTATTTTTATAAATTAAAATTAGAAATTTCAATTTTGAAATAAAAACAATTTTTAAATTTATAAAATTATAATTATAATTAATTCTAAAATATTTTTATATAATTTTTTTAAATATATTGAGGGGTTTGTAAAAAATAATTTTAAATAAAAATAATTAGGAATCAGTTTCAACATTGAAAACTAATTCTTTTTTGTTTTTATTTAAAATTATTTTCTTTCATTTTTACTTGACAGTTATTGAACAAAAGATGGAAATTTAAAATTTACTCTCTTCTCTCTCCTGCTTGCATCCATTGGGAACAGTTACCTCCTGCAATGCAAGCAGGCACAATCAGTTTTCTATTTAACTCTCTTCCCACTACCTCTACCACAAACCACACTTCTTAGCGTTATAATTCCAAAACCGCAATGTCTCGTCGTGGTGGTTCTAAGCAATCTGATCCGCCGCACTCTTCCGCTCCTTCTCCGTCTGGCAGAGCCCGAGGCCGTGGACGTGGTCGCGGTCGAACAGAACACTTCGCTCCTTCTCCGGCTCCGACCGCCGCTCCTCTCCCCTCGGCGGCCCCAATCCCTACATTGGGGGCGCAGGTTCCATCCCAGCCTGTTCAAGTCTCGTCGGCGCCAGTTCCTGAATCTCAACCGGTAGCATCGCTTGCATCAACATTCGAGAAACAATTGACAGTGATGCCGTCGTCGTCGAAGGCTGTTAGGTTCCCGGACCGGCCGGGATTTGGACGAGCGGGAAAGAAAATCCGAGTGCGAGCAAATCATTTTCAAGTGCAAGTGGCGCAGCAAGATCTCTATCACTACGATGTTAGTAAAGTGTATCGCACTCGTGTATTTACTTCTTTTTATGTTTGAAGTTGAATTTCTGGTTTGCATGTATGTTCTGATGCTTCTCATGCGGTGTGGAGATTGAAGTGAAATAGTGTGTGCTGAATTTATTGTGTTTCTAGGTGGCTATCACTCCCGAGATTCCTTCGAAGAAGGTTTCTAGAGATGTTATTGGCCTACTGGTTCAAGCACACCGTGAATCGATGTTAGGAAATCGCATTCCTGCTTACGATGGGCGAAAAAGTCTTTATACCGCCGGACCTTTGCCTTTTGAATCGAAGGATTTTAAGGTCAAATTGGGGGATGACGATGAACTAGGACCAGGGTCAACTTCTTCTCCTCTCATTCCTGCTAGGTGTTTGTTTTTTGTCAATATTGATAATAATTGTTATTGTTTAAATTTAAATTGAAGAAAAACATTTTTCAACATTCCATTAATTTATGGCTTTTGTTTATGCTGGCATGGCATAGGAAAAAGCGTGAACGGGAGTTTAGAGTCACAATCCGATTTGCTGCAAAGACTGATCTTAATCACCTTAGTCAGTTTCTTAATCGCCGCCAATTGGACTGTCCTCAAGAAACTATTCAGGCTCTTGATGTTGTTCTGCGGGCTGCACCTTCTGAAAGGTTTTTTTTTTTTTTTTCGTGTTGTTTTGTTGGCTGAATTTTGATTTGTCTTTTTCTGTGTTTTACGGTCTTGTTCTTCTTGGTCTGTTGAAATGAAGGTTTGATGTGGTGGGGAGATCATTTTTTTCGCCTAAGTTGGGACCTAAAGGAACGTTGGGTAGTGGGACTGAATATTGGCGGGGATACTACCAGAGTCTTCGCCCAACTCAGATGGGCATGTCTCTTAATATTGGTTGGTTTCACTTCTCTATACTAGGAATATTCTTTGAGTGTCTACAACTGACCATTCTTGTGTTGTAGACGTGTCAGCGAGAGCATTTTATGAGGCAATTCCTGTCCTTGAATTCATTTCGAAACATTTTAGACTCAATCTTGATAGGCCTTTGCATGATCAGGACCGAATTAAGGTATTGTGCTTGAAGATTTTATGTGGTTTCTTGTTCTCATTGAGTTATATTTTGTGTTGCAAGTGCATACAAATGTGTTTTGTGTATGATGAATATGGGCCTGTGACCAACTTTTTCTTTGAGATTGTATGATTAAATTTCACTCTAGTTGTACTGAAATGTATAGTTAATTTGGAAGAATAACTAAGTCTCTTTTGCTTGCTAATTCTCAGATTAAGAAAGCTTTGAGAGGAGTTAAGGTACAAGTTAGTCATGGACTGAACATAAGACGACACAAAGTTACTGGAGTGACAACAGAACCTCTTAGAAACTTAATGTAAGGAGCTTTTCCTTTGCTTTCCATTTTAATTGTTGTGCATTTACATCATTGTTGTAAGAACCTTAATGTAAGTAACTACAAATTTTAATTGTTTCCCATTTACATTTAATTTTATTAATTGGGGGAATTTTTTGTGACATGTGAACGAAAGGATAATAACTTTTCGTGTTCTGCATTTGGTTTGTTGGTCCGATTTTCCTTCATTAATCATGTCATTTTTAAATGACAAAGGATTTTGTGTAAGTCATGACATTTGGTTTCTGTTATTCTATTTGACTGCATATTACATGCACACACTGGCAATGTGAATAATCTAACCTAAGTCTTTGGTTTTGTTATTTGGTATGTTTTAGGTTTACGCTTGATGACAATAGAGCACGAACTTCCGTTGTTCAGTATTTCCAAGAGAAATATAATATTTCTCTGCGGTATACACAGCTTCCTGCTCTTCAAGCGGGTAGCGACACTAAGCCAATTTTTTTGCCTCTGGAGGTTTATCTCTGCATCACTTCTTTTTATGAATATGTTTATAATATTATATAATAAGCATCAACAAGATATGTTTGCTGAGACTTTACTCCATATATTATACTTGTTATTTTATAGATTTGTCAAATTGTGGCTGGGCAGAGATATACCAAAAAATTAAATGAGGATCAAGTAACTGCTCTTTTAAGGGCAACTTGTCAGCGTCCTCGTGACAGAGAAATCTCTATCACACAGGTGCCTTTTTTGTAATGAATTAATGTGTTGTGGGTTTTGTACTTTCCTTGTGATTAGCATTTTTTTCTGTCTGGACAGATTGTGAGGCAGAGCAATTTCAGAACAGACAAGTTTGCGAAGCAATTTCAAATTCAAGTCAGGGAGGATCCTGCAGTGCTCGAAGCCCGTGTTTTACCTCCCCCAATGGTAAAAATGTGATCATACTTGGCACAATTTGGCCAATTGTGTTGTATTCAAATATCTAATAAATTTATTTTTGATGCTGAAGCTTAAATACCATGGAGCAGGTGGTGAATCTCAAGTTGAACCTAGAATGGGTCAATGGAATATGATTAATAAGGTAAATCTGTGAGTGCTTTTCTTCTTTTGGTAGTAATTAAAACTAATATTCTATAAATACTGCAAATGGTTTTTTAGCGACGTGGGTTGTGTTCTTTGTATGGCGTAGTTGATTGCAATGCTGAATGATCTAATGCTTTTTGGATCACATTCTTCATATTCATTCTTATAATTTTATTTATGTTGTCTTCAAAAAGAGTGATCATGTTCGGGTTTATGGCTCCATCATGTACCTCAGATATGGGCAGCGTTGTATATTATTATTAGAGTATAGAAAGTGAATTATAAAATTAAATTTCAATTATAGTATTGTATTTTAAGTTCTATTATAATAATTTGTTTGTGGCGAAGATAAAAAATGTAATCGTTTGTAATGTTTTGTAGAAAATGATTAGGGGTGGCACTGTTGAATATTGGACATGTCTGAACTTATCTGCACGAATACACAGAGATGCGCCAGGTGACTTTTGTCACCAGTTGGCTGAAATGTGTAACAGCAAGGGAATGGTATGGTAGTGCGTACAGGCTCTTACTGTGTTTATCTAATGGCTAGTTGCTGAGAGATTTTTTGTTTTTGGATTTTATGGCAGCGTTTTAAACCAAGCCCTTTAGTGCCTATAACAACATCTCAAAGTGGTCAAATAGAGAATGCTCTTATGAACGTTCATAGGAAGTGCCAAGGGACACTCCAATTGTTGATTATAATTTTACCTGATGTCAAGGGGTTTTATGGTGAGTGAGTTTTCTATATTTCAAAACTGAACACCCTAATGTGGCATTTGTATCTAATCGTTTTGGTCTGGCAGAGAGGATAAAGCGCATATGTGAAACTGAATTAGGAATAGTATCTCAATGTTGTCGGCCTAACCAAGTTATGAAGATGAACAAGCAATATCTTGAGAATCTGGCCCTCAAGATAAATGTGAAGGTTGAAGTTATCCAATTCAGTTCAAATTTTTGTTGCATAAGCTATTCAACAAATAATTGTCTGTTTCAGTCAATTCTTGTTTCTTTTAGATTGTGAAATACTTATTTGTTTATTATGTAGGTTGGTGGTACAAACACGATATTGAATGATGCATTTGTGCATAAAATCCCTCATGTGTCCGATAAACCAACAATAATTTTGGGAGCGGATGTAACACATCCACAACCAGGGGAGGATACTAGTCCTTCTATTGCTGCAGTAAGCTCTCTCTTGCTCGTATTTGTAGATATATTATTGGGTGACTTTCTATCTGTTTAACTGTTGAAAATTGGTGTAGGTAGTGGCATCAATGGATTGGCCTTATGTAACAAAGTATAGAGGGGTTGTCTCTGCTCAAAAACACCGAGAAGAGATTATTCAAGATCTTTATACTTCACATTCAGATCCTGTTAAGGGACTTGTGCATTCAGGAAGTATCAGGTATTGTGGATCAATATCGTTATTACTGCATGCAGTGATGAATCTTCATTTTTGGGAGGGTAAACTTATAAATATACAATTTATATTTAATGATTATTAAGATTGTAGAACCATGTAAGTTATACATGTCATGTCCCTCGGCAATTGATTTTTTTATTTTAATTTTTCCTCTCTTTCTAAGGGATTTATTTCGTGCTTTCCGGAATTCAACTGGACAAAAGCCACACAGGATTATATTCTACAGGTTAGATATGGTTTGAACATGATGAGAAATTTGTGCATATTGTGTACTTATTGTATTTACCAATTTCAATTTGTTCTCAACAGAGATGGCGTGAGTGAGGGCCAATTCAATCAAGTATTGCTTTATGAGATGGATGCAATAAGAAAGGTATGATGGATATAGAAGAATTTTTTTCGAAGATGATAATGTGCATAGTTTTTAACAACCACGTCAATTTATAAAACAGACACAATGAAACTCTCGAACTTTTTTGTCTATCTCATATGAATGCCTGGTGACTTGTTGATTATTTATTTTCTACTGCTCTTCTAATAGGTGGTTTATTTTCCATCTTTATCAATCTCAAGTTTGATATTTCTTGTTTCAGGCTTGTAGCTCGCTGGAAGATGGCTATTTACCTCCTGTTACTTTTGTGGTGGTCCAGAAAAGGCACCACACCCGGTTGTTCCCTGAAGATCACGGAAGTCGAGATCAGACAGATAGAAGTGGAAATATATTACCAGGTTATTTATCTTTGTATTTGGCTATATTGCACCTTCCATATTTACCCCTAATTTTATTGATTTTGGAAACTTTTTACTTATGGAAGGAACTGTTGTTGACACAACGATCTGTCATCCTCGAGAGTTTGATTTTTACCTCAATAGTCATGCCGGAATTCAAGTAATATACTCTGACTGACTACTCTAAGATGTGCATCCAACTTAAGTGTGTTATTACTTTTTCAAAAGGCATTTGACAAGCTATCTGTTTGGATTGTACTATATGCGTTTTGCAGGGAACCAGTCGTCCAACTCATTATCATGTATTGTACGATGAAAATAAATTTACTGCTGATGAGTTACAGATTTTTACAAATAATTTGTGTTATACGTAATTCTCTTCCCATACTGCTCTTACTTGCTATTATTTTTAACGATGTTGCATTTATACAATCGGTTTGATTAAAATTTGAACTTCATTTTAGGTATGCAAGGTGTACTCGATCTGTTTCAATAGGTTTGATACTTCAAATTTATTTCCTATATCTATGATCATTCACATAATTCATTTTTTCATTTAGAGATGATATGTTTGTTTGTTTGCAGTCCCTCCCGCATATTACGCCCATCTGGCAGCATTTCGAGCTCGCTGCTATATTGATAAAGATATATCAGATGCTGGTTCTGCAACTGGAGGCAAAGATGGTGGCACGCACTTTGAGGTGAAATTGCCATCGGTCAAGGGTAATGTCCAAGACGTGATGTTTTTCTGTTGAAGGCTGAAGCTGATCTCTGGTGTCTTAACATCATTTATTTTGTTATTTAGGAGTGTTGTTGTTTTTGGTATGCGTGATGGTTAGGTGTGTCTCTACCCATTTTGAGGAAAACAAGTAGCTTGTTAATGTTTAGAAGTCTTATTTCATTTCAGCTTTAGCAGTTTAAGAGACAAAAGTGCAATATGTTGCTGTAAGCAAGGATTATGAATGTTAGCTGTGGTTTTGATGCCATTTTGAAAGTATTCAATTATATTTATATTTGTTGTTTGATTAGTTATGTATTCATGCATATTTTTTCTACTTGTACTTTAGTTTATTTTCTTTTTTCAAGTATAATCATTTTATCATGCCTTGCCTAATCTTTACTAGCATAATGGCAAGTAAAATTATTTTTCACCATGAAGAAAAATTATTTATAAAAAATAATAATAACCTTCAAATATGTTTTTTGATATTTAGATTTGTTTTTATTACTATTTAATTTTTTATAAATTAACTTTTATTAGTAATTTTAGTTGATTTTTTTAAATGTTAGTATGTAGCATGCAGTTTAGATCGTTCTTATACATCGTGGAGTGCAAGAAATTTCATTTTATGAATTTGTTATTTGATAAGTTAATTGTTTCACTTGATAATCATAATATTTATTGTATATTTTTATCTTATATGAGTTGAATTACCGTTTGTTGACAGATAAGTTTTGCAGATTATCTGCATTCAAACTGTAGATAAAATTTACTTTGCACAACAAATATAAATTTGTTTCTATTTATAGGTTTGACCGACATAATTTGGTACTATTTACCAAAACAACTAATTCTGTGGTTAAGTAATAAATAGCGTATTTGATAGATATGTTAAACAAGAAATTGAAAACATGCTCAAAATTTATGGAAGGTGGATGAATTGAAGTTGAAATGTTTATGTTGAGATTGCTAAAAGTTTGGTTGATTATGGAAATTTTGCAGACATAAAATGTGGATTTTATGTAAATATGCATAACTAGGGTTTGACAGATCATGGAATTATTGTTTGGTAAGATGTGTAGAAACTGCCTTATAATTCTGATTATTTTGCACCGGATACATATACAGAGTGTATCTAGCTTTTGCTAATAATTATGTTAATTTGGTGTTTCACCCACAGGATCTGAACTACCAATTTGTGTTGACCAAAAGTTTGTCAAAACTCCAAAAATGTTGTATAACTCGTATATTCGATTCAATCAATAATCGTATGTTAATTTACAATACTATGTACCAGAAAAACAAAAACCCGACAGACATGGCTGACAAAGAGTGACTCACATAAGCACGTGAAGCTAACAGACAATCCTATTGTGCAGAAGGAAAACACAAACAAGTGACAATCCAAGTAGCAACGTGTGGTCTTATCGATTGCAAGAAAATATACATAGCAAAAATGAATAGCCAGTTCCAATTCCACATGCTACAAAATTAGTGTTATGTGCATGAACAGAGCAAAGAACAGTGTCCTTATCAAAGTGTGAGGTCCATCACGTAAAGAAGTGCTTCCACCTAGCTCCCCTGCATCTACAAACTCACTTCTGCCCCTACCAGCTGATGCAGATACATTCACAGGCAGTGAACCTATATTAATGCATTTAAATTGACAAACGCATTAGAATTTGATGTCGCCTAAAACACATACATACAAATACAATGCAACACAACCCAATGGTGAGTGAGAACTGAAGCAAAATTTTAGTGACCTTTTTCTCAACATATCATTTTTTTTGGCTTTATAAAACTATCAACGCGCTGACCTAATGATGAGTGATATCTAACACAAAAATTGAAGACACTTTTTTTACTTTACGTAAGAGCTTATATGTTAATGTTAGACCTTTTTGTTAATATATTTATAAAAACTAATAACAAATACTTATTGTTAGAAGGTCTAAAATTTTAGTTGTAGTAGTCTTATCCTTCCCCGGACCTAAAGAAACCTTATTTCATAGGTAAATAGAATCCTTATTCACACATGTCATTTCTTATGTGCCTGCAATGAAGTGAGGTGAGACTTACAATCATAGTTAGCCCATCCAATGCGTTGACCAGCAAGATCGTAGACAAAAATTTTATCTTTTAAAACGAGATCTGCCTCAAAAGAATGCAATGTTGTCAGTATCATACAAGATAGTTACTTGATGATGAATGATAACTTACAAACAAAAACGTCACTTTTGAGTTGATATTCTGTCAGACTGAGAATATAAGAACAATACACTATTTCTAGTATTTCAGCTCCACAATAAGCAAGATTCTAAGGCTTTCTAATTTACTCCTATACTATTTGTGGGCATATATCAGAAGTAGTCAATACAAGGATTTGCTTTCTAAATATAAGCTTTAAGATCCAACTATTGGTATTTTAACTTCTGTGAGATTATCAACCTTTTTACATGTATCCTTATTTCACCAAAAAAAGCATGCATATAGGACCTGAAGTTTCCAAACTAGCATTGTACCTCCTAGAATAGTAACACTCTGACCCGGGATTTTCTGAAAGCCAATACACCACACTGAACCCTCGCCCTGCAACACACACAGGTTAACTACTACCCTTGTACGAGTGAGAAAACATGCACAATAGACAAATTATAGAAAGTATAATAATAACATGCATATTAAAAATAGATGCAGGGATTTTAGTCAAAGCAGTAGCCAAAAATGTCCAGAATAAATAACCAAATAGTATCTCTGAGACGTGTCCTAAACTTTCCCAATGATAAAAGTTCAGTTGTAGAAATAAGTACTTGAAGAAACATTCCCCACACACCCACCTTTACACAGAAGGGAGCAGGCAAGGCATGCAAATGATAATATTTAAACAATTATAGCAAAACTCCAATTAGGATAATTTTGCTATGCCACTATAAATTATTGAGTATTTAGATCTTATGCAAATCATGTAATCCAGACTTTATTCCTCAGAAAATTGAAAAAAAGAAAATTAAAGCTTGAGTACTTACAATATAATTTTGTTGCATAAGGTAATCCTGTGGTCTTAAAACCAGAGATGCACCACCAGCGAAGTTCAGACTTACTTCTGGAAAAATGTCAACATTGCTGAACAAAGAATAGCCAAAAGGAGATGATAAAGAGCGTCAAAATCTTCTATTTTTAGCATCCAAACATGGAAAGAAGAACGTTTGAAATCAACAAGATATATAAATGAACAGTTCAACTTAACCTGGAGGTGGTTATTAAGTAACACTGATTTCCCCTGGAAAGAACACTCCGTACAGATTGTGGAATAGCAGCTGTAATCTGAATCAACAATAATATTTCTGTTAATTATTGATAAATTTCCTAAAAAGAAAAAGAATGCCACTATTGCTAATCACATATGGATGTGGTTAGTGATCAATTGAACAAAAAAGAAATTACCTAATATAACTCACCGCATTCACAAAGGTTGTATAAGCCTCTTCTGCAAGATAAGACAAAGTTGTTCCAGAATCAACAATGGTACCTCTGTTGTTTGATGTAGCAAAAACTGCAGGGTCAATTTGCAAAAATTGGCCATTGACTGAGATGCTCTGCAGATATAAATTGTAATGAGGCCTGAAATATTTGCCAAGGAAGCAGTTAATTGAACCACTTTCCACAAATCAACTTTATATAGCGATATATTTGGATTTTAAAATTCTTATTCAAAATTTGTATAATATTAAGCCATAATGAATGCAAGATCTTGGTAAAAGAAAAAAGCAGTAACCATGATCGAGTTGTAAAATCCAAAAGCACTTGCACCAAATGACACCCATTAAAAACCAGGCGCCCATAGTGGAAGGAAGGTTGACTGAGATGTTAAGTTGTCAAGCTATTCAAGGCTTAAAAATCAATAAACTGTGTCTTGCTGACTTCAGGTAAAGATTAGGGTTTAAACAAATATAAATCAATTTGAGAGTATCATCACCTTAAACAAGAAGTAAATGACACTGATTCATGATGGAACACGTTTTCCTTCTGAGTTTTTGATGACTGATTTCAATGTTTTGAAGGCCTAACCATTTGCACAATGTATAAATAAATAGGACCACTTGACCAACCAGTAACCCCTGAATGAAAATTCTTTGACCTCACACAAGGCTCCTTTCCAAGAGCAGGCACCCCAAGTACATTGCAAATATTGAAAAAATTCCATCCATCCCATAGTTCTAGAGCTGTTAATTGGTACACTTACAAATCATCAAAGTGCCAAATACCTATCTTCAGGTGAATACTTCACAACACATTACTAAGTAGTCTGCTAGATATTAAGAATTTATTTTATTTATTTGTTTTATTAGGCTCCTAAGAACAAAGACAAGAAGCTCCATCAACTTATCACCTTACTTTTTTCATCTCATACAAAAATATCAACAGAAGTCAATACTTGACAAAAAAATTCAATCTTCAAGTTTAATAGATAATCTAAAGGATATATACCATTTCAAATTTTCATTGAATCTATTAAGCAGCATGACGAAACCACAAATAAATAACTGGCGTAAAGTAATTGAAATTTAGCATATACTATATAACGAGTAAACGTACTGCGATGGAACAAGTGGAGTATAAACTATGTTTGGCTCCACAATTTCACCAAGAACCAAGACACCCCCACCACTATTATCTCCTTTCAAGCAATGAGAGAACACTCTTGGTGCTATTCCCTGTGATGCGAGTTGGGAAACGACAGACATGCCTTGTTGCCCAAATCCAAATATCCCATCAACTGCTCTATCAGACTTTGTTAAGTCCCCAGTTTGCTGGATACTACAACTGTTCCACAGTACAACATTATAAGGCAATGCTTTACAAGTTTAACCCAACAAATTCAAAAGGGAAGATGAGGGTGGGGTTCTTATTTGAAAATTGGAATGCTATTTTGAACCATTTCAGACTAACAATACAACAATAACAAAATCCTTATCCTACTAGATGAGATGGGTTCTTTCAAACTCGTGATAGCTCACCCAAAAACTATAGACGCTGAAGAATTTGATGTCAAGGCTCCCTCAAAAATACTAGCAAAATGCATCAAGTCTGACACATAATAGCCTGATGTCCCACTGCCATCTCCATACTGGAACGTGTAAGTGCACTGGTTGTTCGGACCGGAACAGCTAGCATCCGAGGACTGTACTCCACTCCTGCACCTCCGGTCTGAACAAGAGATCAATGAAGATGTTGATGAACTCCTTGGGTCAAAGTAATTGAGCTGAATCTGCAACCAAACCCTTAAATTAGTATTATTCACAAATCCCAAACGTACATTGATAAAGTGTCATACAAACTGTGTACTGGACTGAATCAAGTAAGTAACAAATACGGAACAGGGACATTAAATTTACTTGAAGTCCACTTGTCTGAGGACAACCATTGCAGGACCCACAACTAACCCAGAGAACATCACTCCCCGTGTCAATCTGCACATAAAATTCCCTTGGAGGAGTACCCATTTTTACCTTGGTATAGTAAAGCCTGTGGAAAAAGCCAAAAAAATTATTTGATTTGATTTTTTCCATAAAATGGAACATTGAATTGAGAACACAAAACATAAAAAACCAACGAGATTGGAATTGGAAGGAGAGAAGTTCAAACACCATACATTCAAATGTTATTCAAAAACATAAAGAAGCTCAAAATTGAGAGCCACCGGACCAAACCACTCCATTTTTTATTTCTAATTTGAAACACCAAGATAACCAATTTAAAGACACCCTGGAGAGAAATTGATTCAAAAAACAATAAAAAAGCAAAATTGAAAAACGGGTGATAGAATTACCCGACTTGTGAGGGATCGAAGGTGCCTTTGACAGGGAAATCTACAACATAGTTAGTAGACTGCAACAATCTACGATGTCTGAGGCTGTCCCACGCTCTGAGCTGACTCAACTCCACTCCCTGATTCGAAGGTAACGCTCTTTCCAGGGTCAGAGTCACCGGCGACCCGGCCACCGCCGACAGAAGCGCGGCAGCGAAGAGAAAAACGGCGGCCACCGCTTCCATTTAGCGTCGGTTGGAAAGTGTGAAAGAAGGGAAAGCGAAGCAGAATTGAGGCAGTGACACTAACGGAATATGAGAACAAAAATCAACGCAGCGCAGAAATTGTTGGTGTTGCTTCTCTTCATGATCGTGATGAGAGAGAATTGTAACCTGAACGAACCTGCAAGTTGCAGGTTGCAGGTTGCAAGTTTGGTTCACAAAACACAACAATAATGGATTACGTAAAGTTACTACTATTTATCGTCAAACAGCATTTACAGCACCACCGCTACATACATCTTTTTAACGTACTTCTGCTTCGTTGCTCCACCATTTAAAAAATTTATACCGGGGGAATAATTTTTATCATTCTGTTCTATATTTATGATTTCTTATTAAATTTTCAATGGGTTCTTCATAACCAACAATGGCATTATTAGAAAAAAATCCGAGCTTTAAAGGACATTTTTCGATAAACATGGTATAAAAATAGAAACACTTTTTTTTTTACACAGGACAAAAGAAACAGGTTTAATGAAAAAAGAGAGAGCGAAAATTAAAGATATTTAGATCAAACCAAGAGAGTGAAAATAAATGATAAATAATGCAAAAAGTTTTATCAAAGTAAAAATTTATTGTCTTCTAAATTTTCTTAAACCAGACAAAACATAAGTTTATCCAAGTAGTTTCGAACTTAGAGTCGTTAAAAAATATTTTGGGTTATGAGTAAAAGAAGTGTTATTGAAATAGAGGTTCAAATAATGGTTATTACTTAGTATTTTTAATAGAGATTAATAGTTGAAAAATATATATATATATAATTTTTGTTTAATTGCTTGTGAGGCTTACTTTTCATTTTTATTTTTGTTTTTACTTGCTTGTTGTTATTTTTAGTTTGACTCATCAATTAGATGTCATAATTTTCATGGAGGAATATCTAAGACATGTTTCATATTTTGAAAAAAAAAAGATATTCAAAGATGTATCCCAAGATAATACTACTACTAATAATAATAATAAACTTCACTATATTTGAAAAGGGAATATTAACCCAAAATTGACGATAGAAAAATATGATTCGAAAGAGAAACTCTACGAAAAAATAATTAAATAAATTACTATATAATAGTAATAAAAATAAAATAGTTTAAATCAAGTTACTAAAACGTGCAACGTAAACACGCTACAAAATATGCTAAGGAAACATAAACAGTTATGATTCTCAAAGTTATAATATAACCTAACGATCTTCCATTCAATTAGTTGCAACATGTTATATCTTAAACTAGGTTAATGACGTATATATAAAAATTAAACTTATAAAATTATTTTCTAATTTTCTTAAAAATATTAAATTTGAATCAAATTAAATATTTTTTTCTTATTATTTAAACTCATTTTCCCTTCAATCAAAGAGAATTATATTTGAAAGGAAAAAAGGATTATCTTTTACTTTTGTCAGATTTTTGTGCTGGGGATGAAAAATGGTCGCGTGTTTTCTTTTTTTGAAAGTGAGTAGCATGTTTTGAAAAACGCATTCTTGTTTTATTTTTCATTTTTGAACAAATCCAATATGTCCTAAATTTTGGATTATGATAGTAGAATCTAGTTTAATGATTATATAAGTGTATCATGTAAGAATCAGTTTACGAGAGTATAAGTGATATAATAAGAATAAGTTTATAGATTTTATTATTTAAGTTAAAAAGAATTATAAAAAGAAAATTTAAACATTTAAATCTTATTTTCACATAATTATTATTTTTCTACCACATTTTTTTCTAGATCCAAATATACCTTAATATTCATGGAAGAGAGAAAATTATTTTTATCAGAATTTTGAATAGAGTAAGTTTATTTCTTTTCAAATTAAGACCATTTTCACATATTTGAGTTTAGGTTTGCATGTGGGTCTCAAGGGCTTGCATTGCCTAGTTTAGAAGTATGGTATGCTTAATTTGTTAATTGAGATTGTTTGTGAGTATATCTATTTTTCTAAAAATTTAGGAGTTTTGGGGATTTTCTTTTACTTTGAGATATTGTGTTTGAGATAAAGGAAGTTAGTTATTCTTATATGTCATAATACTCTAGGCTAGAAGATCTGGAGTGTGAAGGTGATTTGGTCATATTGTTTAAGTTTAAGGAATTTGAATTGTGTAATTATATATGTGTTAATTTGTGATGATTATATTAAATGTGAATGTATAATTGATTTATATAAGATTGAAAAAGATAGTCTTTTGTATGAATCCAGTGTTTTTAAATTGAATTTAGTGGATTGATTTATAATATAAAAGGTAAGGCATAAAATTAATTTGATTTGGAATATTAGAAACAAGGTATTGAGGGTATTGAGTACATTATGTAGTATGCTACTGTCACGAATTTACCTAGCGGATTTAAATTCGCTCAACAAATTTAAGGCAGTGTTTGAAAGTGCTTAAAATTCGCTCAGCATGTTTAGATTCATCCAGTGGATTTTAAGTCATGTTTGAGGTTTCATTCTGTCAAAATTTTGCTCAGATTCACTCAGCACTTTCAACTTTGCTCAACAGTTATAAACAAATTATAAAAAATAGCTCCAAACTCCAAATTTAATGTTTCATATATGCAAATTGAAGCCCGTAAAATAAAAAAATTAGTTAAAAAAAGATGTATACATAAAAAGTTATGATCAAAAGAATAGGCAAATGTCAAATTAGAAAAAAAATTATATTTTGTTATAATGTGAGAAATGATATGTATATGCTTTAAGATATTAAGATACATGTTATGAACATGAAATGAGCTGTGTTAAATATTATTATGTGTCTGTTGTGTTGTGATATGAGAATTATCAAAGTGTATCTTCATGTGTGTAGTGTTATATGTATAAATATTAATTTGGGACTCAAGTATGTTGACTCTATTGATCACTGAAATCACATAGATGAAAGGATTAGGTGGTGAGAGTTAAAGGAGGTTTCTAATGACTTAGTGTGTGGTGTGAAAAAAACTGTGTTTATATAAGTCAATTAGAAATTTACCATAATCACACGTGAGTGTATATACCAAACTGAACACCCTTATATAAGTCAATTGCGTGGTGTGCAATTGGATTCTGTTTTGTGTCCTATATGTGATTTATTTGTTGAAGATCCGATGCATCTTTTTGTTTTCTGTCCGATGGCATGTAGTACGTGGATGGATGTTTTTTGCTGGCTTGGTGTTAATTTTGTTATGTCTTCTTCTTTGGTGTCTTTTTTTCTTGTTTGCTGTGGTCAAGGGAGGAGTAAAAAGCGATCCCAGTACTTTGTTATTATTTGGGTTGCAGTCATCTGGTCCATTTGGTTGCATCAGAACTGTGTGGTCTTTAAACAAGGCGTTGTAGATCGGTTGAAATTGCTTGATTCTATTCGTCTATATTCTTGGAAGTGGATCTTTTCGGCTGGTATGAGAATGTCTTGTAACCTTGTAGACTGACACAATAATCCTTGGATCTGTTTTGTTTAATGTGTTTTTTAATAACTTTTCTCTACTTTGTATTGTACTCTATTTTTGGGATATGAGTACCCCTTGTATTCAGTTTAATTAATTGATGTTATTTGCTTATCAAAAAAAAAAAAAAAAACTAAACACCCTTATGTTATACACTTAGGGAGTTGTAGTATGACAAGTGCAAATATTTGATGTTTATTCCAATATCTAATCTTCTGAAAGTCATCTAGTGTGTATGTGACATGAATATGAACTTGTATGGATTTGTGATGTGATATATGAACACTTGAAGTTGAATTATGTTGTTTTATCTCATATTTAAATTTGACATACTTAAATTGAATTACTAGATTACCCTGTGTGTTTTGTATGTTGTTTTGAACTCTGATGATCGTGTGTAAATAAATGCCAATACTCAATTTCGTCTGGATAATTAAAATAAAATAAAATAAAAAGTCATATAAAATAATATAATAAAAATTAATAAAAAAAGAATATTAAAATTTTTTACTCAACCTCTCACTCATCTCTCCCCCAATAGTTACATCTCATGTTCCCTAGATATTCTCCCTATCCCTTGAATATCTCTAGGCCCACTACCCATTTTCCCCTATTTTTCTCCAAGATATTATTTTTTCCTCCTATTTTTTCCTCAGTAAAAAGGACTACAAAAACAAAAGGAAAAAAAAGGGATAAAAGAAGAGAACAGTAACAGACATTGTACAAGGAAAAAGAAGAATCTTTAGGTATTCTCAACCTTTCTTCTCTTTAATTTTATTTATTTAATTTTATTGTCTATTTATTTTAATATGTTTATTTCTATGTTGATGCTTAAATTATTAACACTTTATAGTTAAGTTTTTACATCATTAATATTATTTTTGTAGATATAAAATTTTGTCTCCCCACATTTACACCCTTTTTTTCATTTAGCCTTAATTGGGTTGTGGACCTTATTTCTATGATTTGTTATGATTGTTGTTACGAATGTTTTTATTATTATAAAACATTTTAAAATTAAAACTCAATTCACCCCCTTTTGAGAAAGTTTTGTTATTAACATTTTAATAATAATAGTGGCAACTCCATTTTTCTAAACATTATATTTGTATGTCATCTCGTCGTGATCCTGGTTGTGATAGATGGTGACTCCACTAGGGACGTTTTTAGAGAGTCAATCCAAATTACTTGAAGGTGCAAAATTTTATGTTTATATGTTTGTTCCCCTTTTCTTTATTTCTTTCATATATGTTTTTGTAAGTAGGATAAAAGATAATTGTTATGTATGGCGAAAACTTCGTTGATTATCTTCAAGATTAGGAGTTTGTGTATACATAATATATTCCCTTCACACACGCATTTTGTATTCCATATTGAGTGGGGCTCTATACCCGAGTCTGTGTGAACCTAGAAATAGAGGGATTGTGTAACAAAAGTCACTTGGGATGTACTTCCTGTTTGGCTGTTGCGAAAATTCCAATTAGAGTTGTTCTTTTCAATTGTACTCTCACCTCTGGTTGATTTCTGATTTTCGCGAGAAATATAAT